ACTCTACTAATCGATCTCATTTAGTCTAGGATCAAGTAGGACTTTATTTGGTTATAATGTAGGCCGCGGGACGGGTATGATATATTTAGATACAAGAGTGACTACACCCTCGTAAGCACTTTAATACATATACTTTAACATTCAAACCCCATATTTATGTCAAACCAAACTCCACCTTCACATCAATAATTACCCCATACTTCTTTAAGCACAATTACATCAAGAGTCACCACTTGTTAAGGATTTGTTTTTTCAAGTGACTCTTACTTTTTCAAAACAGTGCACCTTTCTCCAAATTTCATTAGTTCCACTCAAAAGCCAAACTAACCACTCCACACTTTAACTTTTACACAGTGTATAACAATTCAAGTGCTTATGAGAGGTTAAAAGGTTCAAATAGATAGTCCATTCAAATAATTGGGTAAGACTTGTAATGTGGTTGCCAAAGAAATATGATTAGAGGCTCAAATGGGTTAACTACGATACATAACAATTAGGCGGGCAAAATATACGTATTTGGCTCAACAAAGAAACGCCTATATCACTTCCAAGATTGAACTAAACTACTATTTCGCTTTGCAAACACATAGGGCAAGTTCTAGACATCAAATGCATTACACAGAATAACACACAAACCTCACACACATGGCACTTAACTCACTCAGGATTGGATTCATCAAGACACTCTAGTCAAAGCAGTTAAGCAAATTTAAAATCATACAATTTAAGGTACTTATACAAGAGTCAAAAACTGAGCCTAAGCGTCACAATTAAAGTACTCACTATTCTCAAGGCCTAACCAAGTCAAGAGATATTGCTTCAATTCAAAGCACAACACAATGACTCATATTCCTAAAAAAAACTAACTACACCCAGTTCAAATAAAACCCTTGGAAAAGAACCGTGGCCCTAAGAAAAACCAAGGGGGAGTTACTACACTACCTAAAACAAAACAAAAAATCTTTTTGGTATTTTCTTTAGACTTTTATATATATATATATATATATATATATATATATATATATATATATTATAAAA